TTTTTTATTTTAATTACAGCGACATGTCTCCTACCGTTCTAGACAGTTTTTTTCTGTCCGGATTCTTTTTTTTCTGAATGTGTTAAGAATGCTTTATTATATGGATGATGTGTTTAGTTGTGGGCCTATGCGCGAGCGTTTGTGTGGGAGTGATAATTGTTCACTTGTTTATGGTGGATGGAAGGCATAATTATATTGTGAGGAAAGGGGGGAGGGATTTTAAATTCCTTAGTTTTGTGGAAAAAATAGCTGGATTTTTTAATGTGAAGGGATTGGAATGTAGGTTCAATTCTTGGGCTAGTCTGAATATCCATAGGCATAACAAAATGATCTGAAGAGCGGCGAATTTAACCAAGGGTCCAAAGCTTCCATTTTTTTTTTTGTTTGTAATTTGGAATATATGAAAAAATTATAATTTGTTCGTATGACCCCCAATTGCAGGGCTGTTATTTTAATAGTGTTAAGGTTGAGTTCTGCTTACAATTACAAAGGTTTTGAGGAGATACAAATTGCAAATAATCTGTAAATGATCTACTTATTGAAGATAGTAAACCTTTACCCATGGAAAACCTCCAAAAGAAAACCAACCCAAAAAAGAATTCCATAGATCCTCACTTCAAGTCTACATCTTCCAGCCCGAAAATATTCTTCCTTTTTTTGTGGACATTTACATCAATCAAAATTTCGCCCGAAAAGGTCGTCATAATAATAAAATTTTATATAATTATAATTCATATAATTAATTAATTTTTAAGACTTGCAAGCAATTTGTAAATAAACTGAGGTGGCCAGAGGTGGTTTTCTCTGTTCGCCGTTAAGAAGGTTGTTGACAATTTCGAATGTCATTGCACGTGTTATGACGGCAAAAATAATTATTGAAATTAGGATAATTTTAAGGTCTATTCCACCCACTATTCAGACCCACTTAGCCCTCAGGCTTTTGTACCTCTAGTACTAATATTTGTTTGATCAAAAGGTATACCGGAGCGAGTTTCACCAAATGGAAAAATTAGGTTCAATATGAAAATATATATCCAATTTGGGCTGATATTACATACGTATATGGTGGACAATAGCCGTAAAATCTAATGAAGATATACATCGAAGGTATATAAAAATCTGAACCGATCTCGATATAATTTGGCTGAGGTATTTTCGAGTTGTATCTGATATTCTGTATAAAATATCATTGTTTGTGGAGTGGATATTACGCATGTGAGGGACTTTAACGACAAATCGGATTAAACATATGTATCGGAGCTGTAGGTGTACCTGAACCGATTTTTACAAAATTTGAAGCACTTGCTTTTAAGCTGAATTCCGTCGGAAGTGCCAAAATGCAGGTAATTTGGACTGATATTGGATATTTGGTGTACAATTATCACGAATTCGGTTGAAGATATATAGGGGAGCTACATTCAAATCTGAACCGATCTTAACAAAATTTTAAACACTTATTTCTGAGATGTATCGTATATCTGGTACCAAATATCATTCTTGTGGAGAGCATAATACGCATGTGAGGGACTTAAAACCCCAAATTGGATGTAACATATACAGGGTGAGATGAAAAATCTGCAACCAAATTCAGACTGCTGTCATTTCTAAGCCACTCGTCCGACGTATAGCCCCCATGTAACGGTATCTTCATATATTCGGTATTTTGACGATTTTAGGTAAAATTTTTCGTATTTGAAGTTCCTAATAGGTGCTACGTTCTGTGACATGAAATAGTCGATGCAGGTCCAGGTCTTCGTATAGCACCCATATAGAGGTACCTCCCGATATTCGGTATTTTGATGATTTTAGCGAATTTATTCACCGGCATTGTTTCAAATTTGGTATCTGAAGTTTCTGTTGGCTGCTACGGCCTAAGACAGAAAATTGTCTGTGCAGGTCCACGTCTTCGTTTAGCCCCCATATAACGGTACTGCGACCTAGGGTAGAAAATTGTTTGTGGAGGTCCATGTCTTCGTATAGCCGCCATATATCGGTACCTTCCGATATTCGGATGTTTGATGATGCAGATCCACGTCGTCGTATATACACTAATATAACGGCTACATTCGGTATTTTTAAAATTTTAGTAGAATTTTTAACGGATTTTTTTTTTTTTGAAAATTCCCAAATTCGTTTCAAGTGGTGGAGGGTATTAAAAATTCGGCCCTGCGGAACTTATAGCTTTTTTTAAATTTTTTTTTATATAATACTGCTGATACCATGCACTCTATGGCAAACTATAACTGCTCTAAAGCCAAATGTGGTATAATCTACTTAAAATAAATTCTTTTTTTACGGAAGCTCTACTAAACATCCATAGTGGTTTAGGGTATCGTATAGTCGGCCCCGCCCGAATTTTGACTTTTCCTTACTGGTTATTTTTTTTATACCCTACAGCACAATTTGGTCAGGGTATTATGGCTTTGTGCATTTGTTTGTAACAGGCAAATGGAAACGAGATAGGCCGATAGATACTTTTGAGGATCTGCATAGAATCACTTTCTGAGTTGATTTATGCATGTCAGTCCATCTGTCCGTCCGTCTGTCCATGTATTTTTGTGAAGAAAATGCAGGTCGCATTTATTATCCGATTGAGATGAAATTTTCCAAACAACATTTGTTTGGCCCAAGGACGAACTCTATTGAAATTGGAGATAATCGGTAAAAATTTAGATATAGCTCCCATATATAACTTTGTCCGATTTACCTTTTATTGTGCACCAAGAGTCAAATATTTGCACAAATCGGATGGAATTTGGCACATGCGACCGAATTGAGTCTAGAAGGTAGTATGCCAAATTTGGTGAAGATCGGTTCAGATATAGCTATAGCTCCCATATATAGTGTTCATCCGATTTGTAGTATTTGTTACCCATAGCCGTAATATGCACTCCGTAACAACGATATTCAGGGAAATACATTAAATTCAGCTCATAAATATCTTTGCTTTATCTGATTTCAAATTAATTTTGCACCTAATGGGCAATACAAGTCCGAATTTGAAAGATACATATGCTTCGGCATATTTAGTCCTTTGAACTTTTAATTATAATTATAATCATAGGGTGTATGATTGAATTCTCCCATCAAAACTTTTAATTGTTATGCGGAGTTCTACTAAATTAGCCAAGTGGTGTAGGGTATCATAAAATCGGCCTCGCCCGACTTTAGGACTTTCTTTACCGTTTTTTTTTTCTTTTTTTTTTTGAAAGTTTCCAAATAAATTCTAAATGGTGGAGGATATTCAAAGTTCGGCCTGGCCGAACTTATATTTTTATATTTTTATTATTTGCTTTTACATAAATATTTTATAAAAAAAATATTTTTTATCGTCCACTTATTTAAAAATATTTTCCATTCTTGTTATTTTTAGAAAAAAACCAGTAAAGAAAGTCTTAAAGTCGGGCGGGGCCGAATTTAATCATACACGCTATGATTATAATTATAATTTAAAGTTCAAAGGACTAAATATGCCGAAGCATTTATATCTGTTAAATTCGGACTTGTATTGTACATCTGGTACACAAATTATTTGAAATCGGATAAAGATATATATGGGAGCTATATCCAAATCTGAACCGATCTCGATATAATTTGGCAAAGATATTTCTGAGCTGTATTTGATATATTTCCCTGAATATCGTTGTTACGGAGTGCATATTACGATTGTGGGTAACAGATATAACAAATCGGATGAATTATATATATGGAAGCTATAGCTATATCTGAACCGATCTTCACCAAATTTAACATAATAGTTTCTAGACTCAATTCGATCGTAAGTGCCAAATTCCATCCCATTTGGACATATATTAAACGTTTGGTGCACAATAAGAGGTAAATCGGACGAAGTTATATATGGGAGTTATATCCAAATCTGAACCGATCTCAATAAAATTTAGCAAAGGTATTTCTGTGCTGTATTTGATATATTTCCCCAAATATTGTTGTTGCAGACTGCATTTTACGGCGGCGGAGGACAAAAATAACAAATCGGATGAACAATATATATGGGAGCTATAGCTATATCTGAACCGATTTCGATCAAATTTGGCATACTTATTTTCAGGCCTAATTTGGTTGTATGTGCAAAATTCCATACTATTCGGGCTGATATTACACGTTTGGTGCACAATAAAATGCAAATCGGACGATGAAATATATTCGAGCTATATCTTAATTTTGACCGATTATCTCCAATTTCAATAGGGTTCGTCCTTGGGCCAAACAAAAGATCTTTGCAAAATTTCATCTGGATCGGGCAATAATTGTGAACTGTACTTTGTTTACAAAAATACATGGAGAGACGGACGGACGGACATACATAAATCGACTCAGAATGTGATTCTATGCAGATCATCAAAAGGAACTATGTGTCTATCTCGTTTCCTTCTGCCTGTTACAAACAAATGCACAAAGACATAATACCCTGACCACCTTGTGGTGTAGAGTATAAAAATAGATCGCGTCTTTTTTAATTCCAAAAATTCCAACCTGTCTGGAGCCCTTTCAAAAATGACGCTTCAAGAATGTAATGACAGCAAGGTATTTCCCCTTCTGGAAAAATGATATCAAAACATTGCAGAGTCTTTAAAGATAAGATTCCAAAATATACATTGTTTATTTCTTTATTGCCTATTATCAGATCACCTTTTGATAATTATCACCATGGGTTTGGTAAAAATTGCCCTATGTCACAATTCGTCTTCAATATTTATCGGCGTTTGTTTTTCTTTTGGCCTAGTCATCTATGTGCTTTCGAAAATTTCGTGTGTTTTGGCCTCAAAAGCCAGCATGAGTCATAGCACATAAATACTTACCAAAATACGCCAACGACTTACCAGGGTTATCAGAAAATCCCACCTCAAAAAAAATATTAAAAAATAACAACAAAAGCCAACGGGTTTAATTTGAACAAAAATAATTTATAAAATATTTTGGGTTCTTTTTTAATATTATTTAAAAAAAAAAACTTAAAAATAAAAAGAGGCAACTTAAAACTTAATAATACTATGAGACATGTGTTCTGCATTAAACAGCTGGAATGTGGTTGTGTGTGAGTGTTTGGTACAAAAGCTTTTCGTTTTGTGCATAACTTAAGCTTAGCTACTATTTAGTTTTCATTTAACAAAAATTAACATATTTACAAAGCTTTAAAGCTCGATTCCGCCAAGGACCCTTTACACCTTGGTGCAGTATTGATCATTTGTAAAATCAGGCGCCGCTGCTGCCTCCGAATCGATGGTATAGGGCGGTGGTGTATGGGCCAACACCTCATTGAGTGTGGCCGAGGTATCCTGCCTGGCCAGACCACCGCTAAGTCGCAACGTGGCCAACTCGGAATGGGGTTTTTTGAAAAACTTACTTATATAATTGGCGGTAATTAAAGCTGCCACAACACCAATCAGAGAGCCACACAGGACATCGGACCAATGATGCCAATTGTCCATGATGCGGCTGAGGGCGGTAAACCAGGCCACCATAATTAGGGTGAATTGAATGAAATGTCTGGTCAAATCCGATCTGCGCCAGTGCATGCGTTTTTGCAGATATAGGGCAACATAAACCATGCTGTAGACTACCAAACTGGAATGGCCACTGGGGAAGGAGAGTCGGGCCTGGCGCACATCGGCTGCTGTAAAACCCGTGCCTAGGCAAAAATAATTCTCCACATAACGATGTTGATTGAAGGAATCCGCGCAAGTTGAACCATCCGAAAACTGGGGCTGGCAAACGGCCATAAAATGAGGCCTCAAACGGCCAATGGTGTATTTACCCAATTCCGTGGCATCAAAGGTCAACAGGAGACCAAAAGCAAAATAGACCAATTGTTTGAAAATATTGCAATACCAAATGGGTATCCGGCAACCCCACAAATATCTGGTATTACTGATGGTGCCCTTTTTATATTGCCTCACATATTCACCGATGCCAATGATAAGGAAGGTAGGCACCGCCAGAATTACACCCAACAGCACAGGAGTAATTGTATTATCCTTGAAGGGATAACGTATGGTTTCATCATCGCAAAAGAATCCCCGACGAAATGGTTCAATGGCAAATTCACACACAGCAATGGGTATGACGAGGACAATGACGATCAGCAGATCGAGCAGTATGCGGTGAAGAAGTTTTCGACTCTCGGCCAATTCGGCTGTGGTGGGTTCCACTCGGCTACTGGTTTGCATTGTGATGAGATTGAGGTGCGGATCGGGAAATGGTTAAGATTACGTTCCAAGAAGTTTTGGGGAAAGTTTGAGGGTGTTTTAGTTATTTGGCAGGGACTTGGAAGTTTTTAGGACGAAATTGGAAGACTTTCGGATTTTTTTCTGAATGGTTTATTTAAAAGCTGCCTGAACAGATGTTTTGAAGAGATTAAAGCTCTTAACTTCTACTAAAAACTGAGGTTCCCTTTGTTCCCTGTTAGGAAATTGGAATCGATTGGGTGTTTAGATTTCGAAACGGTTCAGTTTCAGAATAAAAATCACTTTTTAAGGCAAAAAGCTTTTCTTTAAAGCTTTTTCCGTTCCGAAAAATTTTAAGTTCTGCCAATTTGAACTTCGGCTAATCTCGGCGAATTGTTTTCCACCTGAAATTTGATGGTTGGTTTTTAGGAGGGCGAAATGATCAGCGATTTCTTTCTCTGCGGACGAATGTTCTCCTTGTGCAATTTGGATGCTTTAGATAGCTTTTTGGGATTTACTCAAATTTCTTGGCAATCCAAGATCTATTTATTCTCCTTTCTCCTCCCTCTCTCTCTCTCTCTCTCTCTCTCCCTCTTTTCGCTCTGAGTAACGAATTGGACGTTTGATTTTTTGATAGGACGAAATGATCAGAGATGTCTGGTTGAAAGTAAATACCTCAACTTTTCTGCCGTGGAACGATTTGGACGCTTTCTCTTGTTTTGAGTTATCTTTTCGAAACCGCCGAATGACCACCGGTTTCTCTCTGCGGACGATTATTCTCCTTGTAGAATTTGGAAGCTTTCGTTAGCTTTTTGGGATTTACTCAAATTTCTTGGCAACCCAAGAACTAGTTATTCTCCTCTATTATATTTATTTTCACTTCTCCTCTCTCTCTCTCTCTCTCTCTCTTTCTCTCTCGGGTAACAAATTGGACGTTTGATTTTTTGATAGGACGAAATGATCAGAGATTTCTGTGTTTCGTTAAAAGGAAATACTACTACTTTTCTGCCGTGTGGTGAAAGAGCTTTTGAATGCTTTCTTTTCAATTTGCTCAAAGATTTGGCTGCTCTGGAACTCTCTCTCTCTCTCTCTCTCTCTCTCTCTGAGGAACGAATTGGACGCTTTAGCTTGTTTTGAGTTATCTTTTTGGGAAAAAAGCGAATGTTTTCGAAGCTTTTTATTAATTCTCAGAATTAATTTAAATTCCGCAACTCTTTTTCCTGTCTTTCACTATCTCTCTGTTTTCTCTCTGAGCAACGAATTGGACGCTTGATTTCTTGGCGGGATGAATTGATCAGACCTTCCTTTCTTTGCTACACGTGTGAGCTTCTGAAAGTTTTTTTTTTCGAGTTTACTCTCTCTCTCCCTGTTTTTCCGAGGCACGAACTTGGCGGCTGATTTTTTGATGGGACGAATTGATCGGACCTTCCTCTTTTCAAATGTATGTAAATGCTTTGATTTTTCCTTAACGTGTAACGTATATGAGCTTTTGAAAGTTTTTTTTTTTTCTCTCTCTCTCTCCTTCCAAGGTACGAACTTGACGGCTGATTTTTGACGGGACGAAATGTTCAAGGATGTTCCTTTTGGGGATCAAACAAAAACTTAGATGTCTAGTGCGAAAGCTTTTGCAAAGTTCCCACTTCTCTCGAACTTGAGTGTTGATTTTATTGTTTCGGAGCCTTCTCCCACTCTCTTTCAAAAAAAAAAGCTTTTTTAATTTTCTTTTAGCTGCAATTTAATGCTTAGAGCATACTTAAGCTTAAAGAGCTTTCCTTTTTTTGGTATTTTAAAGAGCTTTTGACAAATTATTTAAGCTTTTCAGATCAGATATATCTCCTTTAGCTGCGTTTCCAAGGCCAAATGTTGAGTTTGTCTTCAGGATTGTATATCTCGTCTGAGATACCTTTTTTGTGATGGCTCTTTTAGGTTGGACTTCAAAGCTTTTCGATGTTTTTCTTTTTCCTAATTGCGGATTTTTTTCCTTCTAGGATTTCAGGACTTCAGACTTCAAATTTCAGAGAATTTCAAAGTTGTTCTAAAAAGAATTGGAACATTTTTTTATGTATTTGTTTCTTTTAATAAAATTCCATTGATTTATTTGAGTTTTCTCTCTCTCTCTCTATAAAGCTCTCTTTAGACTTCTCCCCGCTCAATTGAGGTTTGGTGTTGTTTGAACAGAGTTTCCAAAGTATCTCTCTTTCTAAAGCTCTCTTTAGACTTCTCTCCGCTCTCAATTAATGTTTGATGTTGTTTGGAAAGAGTTTTAAAATTTCTTTGGTTTGTTAGTTGCCCAGTTGCATTAAGTTGTGTGTTTGGTGGCTAATTGTAAAGCTGCTGTGTGTTGCTTATGGGTTGTAATTCTCATTCACTTGGTTAGTTTTAAATGTTGCAATATTTTTTTTTGAAATTTTGTTTTGGTTTTTATTAAATATTTATTTTTGTAGTTATGTATGACTTGTCTTGATTTTTTTAAATGATTTTTTCAGTTTTTTTCTCAATGATTTTGTTCTTAATTTGTGTTATGCAAATAATTCTCATTTACTCGATGTTTATAAAATCTTATTTTATAAAATTATCTTTGGCAAGTTTTTTTTTTCTCACATAAAAATTCGTCTTAAATAATTGTTGTATTTTTATGTTTCTTTCTTTTATTGGAATTATTTTTTTTATTTTGTTTTATTTATATCCACTGCTCCAAATTCCGCAACTTTAATTCCCACGAACTCCGGTTAGTGATTGATCATGATTTTTGCGATTTTCGATTTTTTTTTTTTTTGCAAACTAATTTGTATTCAGCTTAAAACCACATTTTGAGGGATTTCTCAATAGCAATGAGTGTGTGTTTGGTCTCTGGAAAAAAATTGATCTCGTCCCAGCTCCTCCGCTCGAATTTGGTAGCAATGCGCGGCGTAACGACGTTCGTGTGCGTGTAATACTAGTTCGATGTGGCGTTGTCGCAGGGTCGTTTGTTGTCGTTAGACTAAAGTTCTCTACATTAATGTCAGGAAATTTTATATGAAGAGCCTCATCGTCATCATCACCAATGAGACACAGCAACAATGAGTTGGAGAGCCAGCCAGCCAGGCAAGAGAGCAATAAAAACCCAACGTAGTTAAATGAGTCAGTTGAATCCGATGATGTTGCTGATAATGAATGATTAACCCCCACCACCACCACTACCACCACACAAGTCGGCTGGGTAGTTATCCAAAAAACAACTGGGTGGTTGAATGTTAACGCCGCTTCGCTGTGCCTACGTCGTAATGAGACTTCTGTTCTATTCTCTCTTGCGCTTTCGCTTGGTCTTTATTAAAGTAGAATCCCAACTACTTTTCTGCGGGTATTTGAACGTGTGTTAATTTTTTTTTCTCCTCTTTTGATTGTCGTAAATTGCGCTCGGCTTAATCTTATGCGACATTGATCATTATTTTAACTTGTCAAAAGCGTCATCAAAACAGCGACAGCAACAAAATTCTCTTGTTATTATCATTTAGCCGTAAAGCATAGAAATTTGCCGCTATTTTATTTCGTTAGTCGTTGTTGTTTTTTTTTTTCGGTTATTATTGCCACCGTCGAATCAAAACAAAAGCGGGTGCAAAAGTGGAAACGTCATGAAGTGCTGTAAATAAATCACAGAACGTAAATAGACACCACCAGCAGCAGTAGTAGCAGCAGCAGTTGGAAATCACACGCCGATCACCAAACACTGAAAGAAAAATTTGAAAAAAAAGAGAATTTGATATTAGACACTGTTTTTGAAGGAAATATCAGCATCTTTGTAGATGTATTTCGAAACTTTTTGAGCGTAATTTTTTAAAAATTGCCTTTTTATATACCCTCAGTCATATGGCTACAGAGGGTATATATCATTTGATGCCCCATCGAAATAACGGTTTTAGACCCGGATAGACCTGGCCGATTTGGTAGAACATCGTAATATTTTTGTCAAACTTATATCGAGTTCCGAGATGGGTAATATCGGTCCACTTCTTCTGGTACCTTCCCCATAAAAGGTCAAAATTTTCAAAAAAAAAATATTTTCTGCACAGAAAGAGAAACATTAATCCGATTTTACTCCAACTTTGCAAATCCAAATATTTGCATCTGTGCTAGGTCAGGTGTGAAAATGGACAATGTCGGTCCACTCCATCAAATACATCCCCCACAAAGGGTCAAAATTTTGAATAATTACTACTCTTATAAATTCACACATCCCAATATTTTTATCAACCCAAGGTCAGGTGATAAGATAGAATATATCGGTCGGTATCTTCTGGTACCTCCCCCATAAAGGTTCGAAATTAAAAGAAAACTAATATTTTACTGAATAGAAAAAAAGGATAATCCGATATTGCTCCAACTTTGCAAATCCTCATATTTGCATCAGTGATTGTGCAGGTGCGAAAATGGACAATGTCGGTCCTCTCCATCAAGTACCTCCGCCAAATAGGGTCAATATTTTGAATAATTACAACTCTTATAAAATATGATGTAATAGTCCGATTGCATTTAAAGTACACATAGTACAATATTTTTTTAACGCAAGGTCTAGTGTGAAGATGGAGTATATCGGCCCACTCCTTTATGTACCTCTCCTACAAAGATTCAAAATTTTGAATATCCATGAAGCTCATGAAAGTCGAAATTAACATCCAATTGCATTCAGATTTGTTACATCTCAATACTTCTATCAACAGAAGATCTCTGATAAAGATGGTAGAGATCGGATACAAGTATATATCGGTATATCTCCTTTATAACGATACCTCCCGACATTCGGTAGTTTCATGATTTTAGGCACATTTTTTTTCTTTTGAGTGGTTTGCCACCCCCCTCCTGGGAGATTATTGCCTATATAAGTCCACGATATCGTATATCCCACATATTTCGACACCTTCCTATATTCGGTATTTTCATTGTTGTAGCCACATTGGTCAATGGAATTGTTTGATATTCCACACAAAGAGTTTCTTTTGAATACTTTACCCCTTGGAAGAGAATTGTTTATATCGCCTCACTATATCGTATATCCCCCATGTAATGGTACCTCCCGATATTCGGTATTTTGAATATTGTAGCCACATTTTTCAATGGAGTTTTCTCAAAATCCACACGCACATAGGTCCACGATATCGTATAGCCCCCATATAACGATACTTCCCGATATTTGGTATTTTAATGATTTTAGCCGCATTTTTCAATGGCATTGTCTGAAATTCTACACAAGGAGTTTCGTTTGAGTAGGTTACCCCCTGGAAAAGAATTGTGAATGTAGATCCACGATATCGTGTAGCCCCCATATAACGACACCTCCCTATATTCGGTTTTTTCATTATTGTAGGGACGTCATTTACGGGAGTTGTTTCAAATTTCGCATTTGAAGTTCGTAATGGATATTACAGCCTATGACAGAAAATTGCCTATTCAGGACCCATTTTGTATAGTTCCCATATAACGGTCCACCCAAAATTCGATATTTTGACGATTTTAGGTACAATATTCACCGATATTGTTTCAAATTTCGTATTAGGTACTACAGCCTACGACGGAAAATTGTCTACACAGGTCCATGTCTTCGTACAGCCTCAATATAACGGTAACTCCCTGAATTCGGTATTTTGATGATTTTAGCTACATTATTCACCGGATTTCTTTCAATTTTCGTATTTGAATATTTTAATGGCCTATGACAAAAGTATAGACCCCAATATATCGGCTGTATTCGGTATTTTCAAGATTTTAACAGAATTTTTAACGGATTTATTTATTTTTTTTTTTTTTGAAAATTTCCAAATTCGTTTCAAACCGTGGAGTGTAGGGAAACCACCAAACCACCGCCAAATCTCAAACAAAGATACCCTCAATAATCCAAATATCAAATTTCAGAATTTTGTCTCTATCCCTTTACCAAGTACCGAACATAGTGCCATTCAGTAATTTTCGTACACATATAGGACGTATTTTCAAAACCACCAGCATATATAAACCACAGCCACGAACGGTGAGATCAAGTTTCAGAATTTCAGCACTTCAATTACCCCATTACCAAATTTCGTACAATTTAGTACAATTATGGTACTGATATCCAAAACACACTCCTTCTCTCAACCACAAATGCCAGCAGAGAATTCAATATCAAAATTTAGAATTTCTGCCTCTATCATTCATTAAATACCACATTTAGTACCAGTTAGTAGTTTTCGTACAAATATAGGTCGCATATTCAGCTCCTTTTACTAACTAAAAGGAACCTCAATATAAAATTTGAGAATTTCAGCCCTAATCCTACACCCAGAATCAAATTTAGTACCGTTTAGTACTTTTCGCACAAATACAGTACGCACTTTTCAAACTACCTCCAAATCTTAAACACAGATACCATCAATAATTTAAATATCAAATTTCAGACTTTTCTCTCTAACCCTAGTATGAATTTCCAAAAAATACAGCATATACGCACCTAGACTGACCCTCGTACAAATTTTCAAGATTTCAACTTCCCCCCCTTTCGTGCATAATTAATTCCACAAATTATTTCTTCCAGTGTATTTACTTACTCGTTTTGCATTGTTGGTTCACGTGAGAGATTGTGCGATGTGTTTGTGTATGTGTGTGTTTGCATACGGCTGAAATTTAACGCCAATTTGTTCAGCACTAAATTTCTTTCTTCAAGATCACCTCGCCCTGATAAGATAATTTTCGACAAAACAAAAAAGTAAATATAAATATAAGACAACAATGAGACAGACCTATTTTGCTCATTTTTGTCATTTATCTTCAATTGTTGGGATCTCGTTGTTGTTCTTCTCTTGTCCCCACCTCAATTATTCTATTATCAAAGACAATAAAACAAAACAAACACAAGGCGCAACATGAAATTTAAGTAAATTTTTGCATAAAATAATCCAACGGCATTACATTACTTGCAGTTTTGTGATGGCATTCGTGTTGTTTTTGTTATAATTATTTTTATTTTCTTTTTGTTGTCAAAAACAACAAACAAGATAAAACTGACACCAAAACATTGAGTAATAGTGTGTGGTGGTGGGTGCAGGCCCCCGTTTGTTTATCAACCACCTAGCCGAGATCAAACAGTAAGTCGTATGGTGTCGTGTAAACAAGACTTCGTACAATGTGAGAAATGGAATTTACTACCTTTGTAAATAGCAGAGAGCGAGAGAGAGAGTTTAATTGAGGGGGAGGACAAGAACATTCAAAGATTACTTTAAGAGGCAATGTAATAAATGTGTGTGTGCCATTGCAATGCATTAAATAAATAATGAAGAGTTAGTGAGAGTGGGAAGTTATGGGAGATCAATAATCAATAAATGAAAATCAATGCGGAAAGGAATGTGAGAGAGAGGGAGAGTGAGTGAGTGAGCATTGTAAAGTACAAAGGCAGAGATTGAATACAAGTTTTATTTGTTTCTGATAAAGGGGCAGAAAAAAACACCTCAGTTATAGAAAGGGGAGATTGCTTACTAAAAATAATATCAATCGAAAGTTGGGGAGCTGTGTGAGGGAGAGAGAGAGACTTGTACATAACAAGGTTTGCCAATTGGAATTTCTCTCCTTCACAGAGTGGGTATTCTAAATGAGCAGCATGTACTGCCAATGTGTAGTGTTGCTATTTGAGCATAGAAAACTCTATTAATTTTAGATCATATCTTATTTGTTGTGGCCAGGAATCCCTCCTACCAGTTGAATTGTTATTATTTTTTGTTTCTTGTTATTGTTTTTTTGCATAGTTGTTTTAAAAGATCGCTTGATTAAGAATTCACCTTTGTTGAACATCTGTTTTCTTGCCTGTCATGCTGATTACTACCGCTTCTTTTTAAAATTATTATTTTTTTTTTTGCTGAATTGTTAATGAGATTTGTTGCTGTAAGCCATGAATGACGTAGCTAAGGTTTGAATTAAAAACCAGCATTCTATTTATGTGTATACATATAGGTGGGAATAACCACAACAATTCAGGTAGAATGTGATAAGCTACCATCATAAATGGGCGAAGAAGTTTAAATGGGTACAGGCGGGAAAAAGTTGGATGAGAAACCATTTTATAACCGTCGACACTAGATGGAGGTATATTCAATTCGTCATTCCGTTTGCAACGCCTTAACCCATTTCGTCCTCTTTTCGATTTTTTGAACAGCATTTAAACCAAAAATATTGGCTACTTTTTAAAATATTTATAAAAATAACAACAAAAAATAATAGACGGAAAAAAGTAATGATGAGAGCTTATTGTCAATATATGTAACCATTACACTAAATATAAACAGCATGGCTTACATGCACTAGCGTGACTTTATATATGTGTAAACTTGACTGTTCGAAATTTCGAACACTAGATTCTGAAAAAACGAAAATTCGGAAAAAATTTTTGGAGTAAATTTTTGACATCAGTGTGGCCAATTTACACTAAAAAAGCAGATTTTTTCCAAAAGAAAAATAAATCTCTGAACGACATGGTTTGCAATAAATATGTATTCATGATAAGCATAAAATTCTGGAATTTAAATTTAAAGTCCGATCAACCTATTGGAATTCATGTAGGGAGGGTACAATATTTTAGATAGAATTTTGAAATTCAGAAAAAAATGTATATGATCGGAGGTTTTGGGATTGAATTGTGGCTGTCTCCCATTTGGTTAGTTCCTCCGAGTAATTGTACCACCCAATTATATGTATTTTTATAACCTT